ATACTATACTATACTATACTATACTATACTATACTATACTATACTATGTTACTGTTACTATACTATTACTATACTATACTATGCATTTAACTCTTTCGCTTATGTAGTGAACCTATAAAAGGAGACTTAAACATGGAACTTTGTATGCGTATTCACTTGGCAATGATGAAAAGTTAACTTTCCCCCCTTTTTATATACTAAGTAGAGAGACCAGCACTAACCCAATCCAAAGCCAATCCAAATCAGTGCAGTGTCACTTTTATTATCCAGCAGTAGGAGTAATGATTTTCCTACTGCCAATGTAATGCCATAAATTGGTGAGGGTGTAATCACAATCTGTACATGGAACAAAAATGCTTTTGGTTTTCTTCAGTTATAGATCATGGTTGTTTTTATATGGGCTGATACACTGACTAAGAAATAAAGCCCTGTTTATTTTTTTCTAATAAATCATTAAGAGGTACACATTCTCATTTCTAGGTTATCTAGTCAATGTTTTAAACTTTTGGTCTTGGGAATTACAATAATACTTTCTAACAATAATACCAAAGCACTCCTACTATCGCTGACAGGGCAAACCACTAGAATATAAATTGAGAGCAAACTCCACTCCCTAATAACACTGAAGATATTACCTAATTTGGTAATGAAATGTCTATGAGAAAACCACCAAGCTCAGAGAGCACCAAGGACTCCACATAACAATAATACTACTTTATTTTGACCATAATACCTTAGCCTTGGGACAATTCCATTACATGAAATTGCATTAATTCAATAATATTGCATTAATAGTAATAATATTGCTGTTAAGTACAATAATACAATTGTGTTCTATTAATAATAACTATATAACTACTAAACTTGCAGCTAGAAATTGAATCCTCTAAGACTAGAAAGTTATTTATGGTGAAATCTCATTGATATCAATATCCCCAGCATTCTGATCATAAAGTCCTTTAAGACTGATTGGGCAATTGATTCACAATCTTTCTTACTGCTTGGAAACATGTAGCCAGTTAAAAGAAATAGTGCTATGGTAGTAAGAAACCATTAAGTTTTTCAAAATATTAGAGAAACAGGAAAAAGGTATAAGAATTGGAAGTATAAGCTTGTTTAGAGATAACGGATAAAAACTTAATTGTAAAAGGGATTCTGCAAAGGTACATAAGATAGTCTTGTTATAGAAATAATATTAGAAAATATGATTAAAATGATGGATAAAATATTTATTGTAATCTAGTGGAATGTTTGTTAATAAATAAATGAAATAAAGTGACTGAGAGAATTAAATTAGGAAAGGATGGGAACATTTTAATTATTATTAATGATTTATAAAATATAAGTGAAGAGAAATATAGAAAAAAAATAATTATGGAAAGTTTATAAGTGTTCCCAAGGAAGTATGATATTTAATTGAAAAGAAATGTTAAAGATGTTAAATTTTTAATGAATATTAATGATAGAATTGAATTGGAATGGAATGAGTGCTTTATTTACATATAATCTTTTTTTAAGAATATAGTGTGTATTTGAAGAATGTACCAAGCAGAATTCGATTGGAAGTTATGTATTATATTGAATGTTATAATCTTAAAGGTATACATTGAACCTTAAATAAGAGTTGAATGGATAAGATTAAAAGATATAAAGGTGTCATACTCTATTTAGTAACTACAGGGGAAAATTTGTTTAATGAGAAAAGATAATATGAAATTGAAACAGGACAGACAAAAGTATAAATATAATGACTTGAATTGAGATGAGCTAATCAAAATAAAGTTGAGAAAATTAAAAGAGGGGAAAAACTATGTAGAAAATGTAAAACAGTAATAAGATATGGAATAGAACACAAAAATGAGCATGAAATTGAGTCTGTGTCTGTATGAAGAAGTGATAACCTGGGACCATGCTATTTTCAAAAAAAGATGCTTTATTTGTATTATGTTTTTTTTGTGAAAACCCAAATAAAAATTTTCAAAAAATAAGTTTTTCAAAATATTAATATATCATGTACCTTCCCACTTCTAGGATAGATGCCAGAATGGTAGTTGAATCTTTATTTCTACTAAATGCTGGCTATACTCACTTTGTATTCATGGCATTGGCAAGGGAAGAAAGTGATATCACATGCACCCCAATGTTATTGTATAAATTATAAATTGTGACATATACTGTAATTGTGGCTTGTACTGGAAGGCTATTATTTCCCTTGATTCTGGCACAAAACGTTCTATGATCCCTACCCACTAGGCGCCCATTCGAAAATGACAAATTGTAGTGTGATGTCACAGCACAAACTCCAGCCTTTCATACTTGCCCTGTCATTTTGCATACGAATATGTAAGACGAAGCGTTAGCATCCCAATGTACATTTGGTAGTTGCTCTTCCCATGGATGCTTATGAACCTATCCATCTCCAGCAACTGAAAATTTAGGCAGCCAATGAGTTTACTTAAAATTAGAACTGGTCTGTATAGGTAGTCCTCGACTTACGGACTACAACTGAGCCCATAATTTATGTTGCTAAGTGAGACAGTTAAGTGAGTTTTGCTTCATTTTATGACCTTTTTGCCACAGTTGTTAAGTGAATCATTGTAGTTGTTAAGTTAGTAACACGGCTGTTAAGTGAATCTGGCTTCCCCATTGTCTTTGCTTGTCATGGACCCAGGACACGGCAACTGTCATAAATATGAATTAGTCATCAACCAACCTAATTTTGATCATGTGACCATGAGGATGCTGCAACATGTGAAAAATGGTCATGTCACTATTTCCAATGCTGTTGTGACTACAAATATTCACTAAATGAATGGTTGTAAGTTGAGGACTACTTGTATTACATGATATACCTAAATTAACACAGACAACAATTCCATGTGAACAATCTGAGGCTGATTAAAACACAGTTCTAATTTAGTGGTATATATGATATATTAACACAACTGACAATCGTCCTCTTTTAACAACCCCATAATCCCTTGCAGGATGGAGTCTGGGCAACTGAATGGAGCTGAGTGTTTACTGGCTGGATGCCCTTCCTGTTGCCAATGTGGAGTTATATTCAGCAGATATATTCCCAGTGTGCCCAGAGAGAGAAATATCTGCCTCTATCTAGGACCGAACTCACAGCCTCTTGATTATGAGGCAAGAACTCCACCTCTAGGCCACCACACCACTCTTTAACACAACTTACAGTGTTACATTTCATTACAAGTAAATAACTGAGCAGATTTATTCCAAGTTAGAATCTTTAAATGTTTAGTTCAGAATCCTAACGTTTCTAATGGGGCTCTTTCAGAATAAGGATTTGAGAACAGTGATCTAATTATGATGACAATTCAGCATTACAAGCCATTTTAGTGTGTCTATTATATCTAAAATTGGCATAAGAAAGGAAATGCATTCTGCTGTTGAAAATGAGGTAGACTGAATGACTGTGTGAACCAATTAAAAATGCATAGACTCTATAATTTGGTAATCAAAGTGTCTCATGTATAACCTCATTATCTTTGACAAGTTTAAAACCATATCATTCTTTACAGACAATTAAAAGCTTGCATAAGAATTTCATTTCTGGATGTACCATCCAGGTTTATTGTATGCCCATAAAGCCTTTGGTTTGGCACCAGTTCTCAAAAAGCAGAAGATGGCATTCCATGTATATCAGATAACTTGAGATCTAGATATTTACAGAGGAAATGTTAAATGTCCCAATCTAAATGCAATGCTATGAACAATTCTGGAAAATATGTCCTGAGTTGGGGCCAAACCTGTCTGAAAGTAATCTATTTACATTCTTAACTGCAATGCATTGCTATAATTGCTAAGGCTGTGCAGCACTCCAGAAATAATTTTTATTTCACAATTCCACTTTTTGGAATCCCTCAAGAGAGATGTTCTTGCCAGTGTCTGTACTAGCACTTGTCTGCAATTCTTTAAAACAGTCACACTTCCTTTCCCAACATTGGCTAGCTGCTCAGTGCCGCTGCCAGGGGATCCAAAG